AAAACCCTGTCTACATCACCTTACCATTTGGAGGTGATACAAATAGCCTCTTATTGAAACAAGGGCTTAAATCAGTCAATAACAAGACGTATTACTCAGCAAAGGTCATTATCAAGTTAAGAACAAGGTTCATGAAGACGGTTGCGTCACATCCCACTGTGTTAACCGATTTAAATATGTATATGGCCACATATATATAAGAAGGAGTAATCGTGATCTCAAAATTAGGGTGTGTGAACTTGTACCCAAATGGTTGCAGAAACAAATAAACGACCCAATAAACGTCCATCATCCTCTCTTGCCAGACATAATTTTAACAGGTCATAAGACTGATCTTAACTCAGCTTTTGTGGTGTTGTACAAAAGTGTAAAAGGGCGTATTCTAAGTTTTATGGAAGCCCCAGCCATATGAAAATTCAAACCTCCTTTGTGTATTCAAAAAGTTTGTTCTCACTTTAAGCCTACCCTAGTAATATTAGCTTATCAACCAGTGATGAGGTTTCACATTATTTTCTTTATTATCCTTGTCTCCTCTTACCCTCCACTTCTAGTCTAGTTGACCTTTTATTTTTGTATATAAATGTATTTAAGAAGTATATGTGTGAACAGATTGTTAGAAATGTATTGAGCTAATATATTACATAGTTCTGATAATCTTCGTCTTCTTATTACATTATCGAAATTTATCAAAGGGACTAATTGCTTTAGTATAAATTGTGGTCTAACACATCAACTTGTGTATAAATACTGTATCTAAACTTATCCATTACTTAAATACTTGAAAATATGTAAACTAATATTCGACTAATTACATTAATATAGTGTAGAAATGTTTAATTTTTCTGGATTTGAGTTACGTACCTTTTCAGTAGCGTATGTACGAATAATGTACTTTGACTTTTAAAAGCTATTAAGAATAATTGAAAATAAGTCAATAGAATCTTCTACAGCAGATACCTGGTAAAGCTTCAAGTCACTAAATCCATGATTTCCAGAACTCCATCCTGGAAATCGTGATACACCATACACCGGTAGACCACAAACCTAAACTACAGAGACATCATAAACTACCTACCTCTTAGTAGAATAGTTCCGCTACATACGGACACCAATTGACAGCTAATCAAGTACGATTTGCAAGGCTAGTTTATTATCGCATAACAAGACTGATAGGTCGGGCCAATAAGACACAGATTTAAGACCAAGTATTAAACGAGATATAGATGAGTGCATTGTTGTGTTGGAACGATGGGAAGAAGTTATTTACGGCCTCATTTTCTTGGTGTATTTGTATATAGGGCCTTCAAGATAATAATAAATTCTCGGACACACCCTTCTTGAATAGACAATCCCACAGAATATTCCAGCCTGACGAACCGAAGGAGGTCCAGATATCAAGAAACAAGGATTATTGATATGGAATAAGTGTGGGGGTGTTTAGGCATTTGGTGAATAGATAAGACTTGATGAATACATATACGACCTAGTCAAAAACCAGGCTGCACCTCGGGAACGGTCATCTATAGGTTCCGTACAATCTGTGGTACTAGTATATAAATTGGATTAAAACACGTTGCGTGCAGGATTGTGCTGGAGCACAATGATTGGCCATTTCTTGGGCAATTAGCGCTCGCGGATAACTTGAAAAGATTTTAGAATTTTCTCGTGAAAAATTATGGACAGACTAACGATTTTCTTAGTGTGATTTTTATTTCCATTCAACTTGGTTATTTGGGATATAATTTCATTCCTTTACAAGCGTGTTCTGATCTAGAAACTAGTTAAATAATGTAATGTCCGAAGAATACTAAGCAATAAAAGTAACTGGCTCGTAATAAAGAGATCCTAACATGTGGTGTATGACAGAAATCAGTTGTTTGCAGATAATCGAGGAAAGACTTATCTTACGATAGATATGGCATAGACCATCCAAGCTTATTTTAAGGAAGGGAACAATTATTGCCTCACTCAATGATCATAGAATACTAATTCTTAAATATTTCCAGATGCTTGTAAAGCCATATGTTCGTCAATTTCCTTAAAAACAGCTGAAAGCATATCGTTTGGCCCTGGTGGCATCAGGAGTCGGAGTTCCCTGCAGATATTCCCAACATGCGAGAACCTATGGGTAACATAATACACGCGACTCGCCGGTGCCTCAAGAAGGTCTAAAGAGACTAAGGAAACCACGTGCCTACATGAGGGACATTTCGTGAAGCAGTAAGAGGCGTGACTCATCAATCTCATGGCGTTATGCAAACGAAGCTAATGCTCATTTACGCTTTATATGGGGGACTGGTAGCTAGCCTTGAATTTGACTCGGTTTGATATTTGGTGCAACGGAAGCTGCAGACAATATGCTTATACCAATCCGTTTAGGACCAAATGTATGCCGGATAATAAAACAAAAGATAGGCTTGGTACGAACCATGCTATGATAAAAGTCTAGAAGCATATCCATACGAGAAGAAGCTGTAGTGCGATCAATCTGAGTTTAGGGTTTAGCAGGACACGAAGGATCCCAGGTAGTAATGACCTTGAGTGCTGTTAGAAGCATGAGGGCAGTTATCACGTCCCGGTTGCCCACACCGTGGAAGGATTCTTCTAAAAGTAACTGAAAAGGAAAGTGGGTTAGAGTTGGTCTTAATGACCTGAGAGCGTCACCGCAGTGCCCAAGGGACAATTGCTTGAGGCCGGTCATTTTGTGAGTAATTTTCGTGATAGCTTTGTGGGATAAGGCGGTGTGCATTTTTAGGGTCGACCTTTTTTAGCCCCAACCCTCCTTGTGCGAAGGCAGCATCGCTGTTATGATGGTTGTCTGAAGGAAACACCTTACTGCCGCCACAGCCCTGTGCAATCAGAAGCATGATTTCGCCTTCGGACCTTTAATGTGCTGCTTCTAGTCTTACCGATCTTCGACCGACCTGTCTGGCATGGCAGGACCTTGAGGAACGATTGTTCCAGCCAGTATAGCTCGATTGGTTCATGACGATAGGCAAGCCCGACCGCCACGTCAAGGTAGCAGAAAAGGTCGGACCAAGTAGTAAGTATATCGGCGATGACCGCGTCGGAAGATAGTGCTCGACAAAACCAGGTTGCGGTCCGATACAACGCTCAAAAATTAGGCTAAGCAGTTATATCTTAATTGATTGTAGAATTAGTTACATACAAGCTGATTTTCTCCGTCCATAGCATTTTATCATGCTTATTTCGGGTTCATATTTTGTAGAGAAGCACGTTATTTTTTTACAAGGAAAACTATTCATCCGGCTAGTGGTCTTGTCTTTGATCTTATTCGAGGACGTAAGTCAATCATATGGTTTTGTAAGTAGCCATCACTTGGTTACATTTTATCATTCATATATAGATTAGCATTCTATTCATTTATTTTAATAGTTGAAACTTCATCTAATCAGAACACAAAAGTCCTCCTCCACAACGTGGTTTGCACAAAGCAGTAGATGGTCGTCGTTCCGCGAGTCGAGGTTATCAATTTCCCATTAGCCAGCCACCAATGAGAATCTTGCGTCTAGACGATCGATCAGGACATTCAGTCTTGTAGATGCTCAGTGAACAGACGTTTTTACTTCCCAAAAGGCATATTCGAAGTATTTGTAGGATGCAATATTACTGCACGATAATATACGTTGTCGAAAATGAAGAAAATCCGTTGATGATTAGCATTTTTTAAGACTTCCCTAAATAGTGAAAAATCAGAACTGTGACAATGAAGTATATAATTGTTTGAGATTTTTGGTAAAGGTTTAACACACCAGAGCAATCTTTGTATACCGAAAACCAAAATTGCATATCCTAGCTTCAGCTTCCAGAAATGGATGTACAACACATCAAGAGAATCTCATTCTATCACGAGATCTGACTCTTTCTAATAAACGACTTTGGCCGAGCTTTTTTTTAGAGCACTGCTGCTTCAGTATGTTAGTGGGACATAGATTGGATTTAAGCATGCTTAATGCACGATTGCTTTGGCGCATGCTGATTGGCTGATTCTTATCCAATCAGCGCTAGTCGATAACATGGAGAAGACTCTAAATTCTTCTTATGTAAAAACTATAAATATACTAACGGTTTTCCTTTTGTGCTTCTCACTTCCATCTAACCTTGTTATTTGGAATACAATCTCTTTCCTGTTCAACCGTGTTCTGATTTGGGGACTTGTCGAGTGAATTGGTGTCCGTGAATACTAAGCAATAGGAATAGCTGGGTTAAAACCGTAAGAGCGAGAGAATTATAACACAGTAGTACTTCTTAAACTTGTTGGAGAACTTTATAGACAATGAGTGAAATTTTAAGGTCTTTAAGTATAGTGAAAACAGTTCATCAGTGATTGATATCATCTTATATTACCGGTTTTGTTGGGACTGAAGATTTGTTAGGTATGACATTTCGATACTTTTAACACCCGAAATTGCGCGATTAAGTTGAAACAGTTTGCAAGAAATACAGTAGTTAATTTACAATAAGACATTGTAAAATAAAGAATATTTGTATTTAGATTATTACTGTAAAAGAATCCTACAACCACATGTAGGTCAAGTATCAAATAGGTTTCGATTTCGATCATATACATACTGAAATTAAACCTTGTGCTAAGGTTGATCAAGTTTTGTTCGTAAACAGAATTTATAAAAATATAAAAATTTTAAGCAACTGTTTTTTCTCCTTTTGACTAGTATTTATCAATATTTATCTAATTTCTTTTTTAAATCCTACAAACGCTGTCATATTATTTATGGTTACATTGAACTATAATTGTGTTACAAGTGATTGAAGATAAAGATAGGATTAGTTAAGATCCTTAATAGTTTGATATAGACAAAGCTTGAATTTGTTCAACCAACCGAAGATATAAACGTATATTAACAGTAAGAATTACTACCGTTAAATATATTTCACAGGATAATTAGTGGAGAATATGAATTTGTCAAGAATACTAAATAAAAAATCTAATAACCAAAAAATAGAACGGAGAAACTTACCTCTTCACGCAAGTTGTCTATCGACTGTAATCTTAGACGATATGTATGAAATCCAACGGCAGCTTTGATTCTCATTAAAACATAATACCATAGGTACATCCAACTAGCATCGCGTTTAACTTTGATTGTTAATTCATTTGTATCAGGAGAATTCCCTACTTCAGTTCGATGATTACGACGTTTAGTTAATTTTGCTTCGACTCGATGCATTCGACGAACACAATGTTGAATCTGATTAGCTGCTTCAGTAAGCATATCAATAGCCCTGAGTATTTCATTTTTCGATTCAAAGATGTATGCAGCAGCTAAATAGTGTTTTACTGATCTAGTCATTTGTACTGGATATTCATGAAGCGGTTGTAAATTAAGAAGCATCTGTGAACGATTTGGTACTTCACTAGAACTATTATCACGAGAACAAGAGGATATAGCGCTAACTAACGCTTTCCAGCATTTAGATGCTTCGAATTTACATTCTTCTGCTTTGAATATTTCACTCGATGGGTTACTATCCTGTAGTCTGCCAAGGAAAATTAAAAATAAAATAAACATCATACGTATCAAATTCTTAAATATTTCATAAAACAGAAAATGTGAAGTAAAATGTTCACTGTAACCGTTGGATATGGGAGATTGTACTGACTTGATACATGACATGTTTAGCGAAAACAAACATTTCATTGTCAATATTTATATCCACTATATCAAAACAAAGTGATATTGTCCATTACGATAATAAAAACGGATACGCCATATAAAATCTTATTTCTGTTTCCCACAATTATTCCAAACTAAAAACATGTAGCTCAGTAGCCAAGTTTAGGTTCATATAACGTTAACGTGACGGCTAACAATACTAAATTGCTTTACAAAATAGTTGACAAGTAGAATGAAGTTAAAAGTTAACACTCATTAGGGAAAATGTAGCATCTAAACTGATGATCAACAGCTCCATTGTGAAGCAATGATAACGAAATACGGAAGATAAAGTTATCTGCTTACTGAGGGGTATTCCCTTATGCTTATGAAGACGACTAAAAAATTACTCTAGAACATGACTGCACTTTAACCCATAAGAATTGTTATATATATATATATATATATATATATATATATATATATATATATATATATATATATATATATATATAACTGGAGCAGTCAAATAATTCAGTTAATGCATGTATCAAATTTAGGAGATAAATAGTACATAAGTTTGGATCCAGTTACGCTGTATGATAAGTTAATATTCGGAAACTAATTAGTATCAGTAATGTTTAATAATTAGGGTACTTGCATTGAACTATAACGTTCCCTTAGAATTACTAAATTATGCTGATGTAATAAGAGATGACTGTTGTTCCTTAACAATCTGTTAACTATTTGAAGCGATGGGTACTGATTATAAGTGTCGTTCAGAACACCAGTACTTGATTGGATGAACATAAAATATTGAACTCAAAACAAAATGATGTATGTGTTCTGGAATCCACTACTAGAAACTGTCAAAATAACATATAAAATGAGTGATTGATTCTAATCAGGAAAAAATGGAAATTATGCATAATGAGACAACTAATTTCAACAATTAAAATCTTACTTTTCATTCTCCTGTTTGATGATCCTGCCAAATTGTTCCTCAATAAAGAGCAAACTATCAGAGAGATTCATACATGAGAGTGATTGACTACCCAACTGCGGTAAATTCTGAACAATATTTGATGACAAGTTAGTAAGATCACAGACTGGATCACGGAGAATTGGGGGCACAGTACCAAGAGGCTTTTGAGTAGGAGTGCTAATTATACCAACGGAACACTGTGAAACAAAACGACTAGATATCAAATTATTATTATTATTACTACTACTAGGCCATATGTCACATTGAACATCTACATCATTTAAGATGGTAGTTCGATTAAGATGAGGCGACGTCATTGTGTAAATATCATGATAACTCTTATGAGACGAAGGTTCGTCTGCCAGATGGGGTGATTGTTTCGTTTCAGATGATGCAGTGAAACTGGGTGGTGGGACGAGCAAAATACCTGTAAGTGACCTGGAACGAGTACGTCTACTCTGGTTGGTCCTGGAGATTACTGAACTGTCATTTTCAACAGCACCACGCAAAATATCTCTCATTTTCTTAATTAAATGATAATCAGACGAGGAAAAGTTAATGGGAACCTCTTCATTTTTAGGTGAGGAACTTGACGTCCGAGAGAAGGACTGTTGTATTTTATTACGAACTTTGGTTACCGTCAAGTCAGAAAATATCCAACAATCAAACGGGATATCACGAAGGGGATAAATACCCACAGTATTCTGAACTAAGGAAACAGAATCATCTATATCCTTCTTCATATCGGAATCATTTTGTGGTTGTTCATAAGTAGATAACTCAAAACTAGATGTTGTGACTGACTCCTTGGATACTGTAAGTTTTGAGCTGCATTTTGATCGCCTTTTTAGCTTCTTACCAGTGGAATCGTGAGCTGGCGGTGGCATGCTACTGGAATTATTCATATAACTATGAGATTGATCCATATTTGTAGGAAGATTCTGAACTTCATTAATACCCGTCTTCTTTTCCGTGATTCCATTGACATCTGATCTGTTGAGCTCTTTTTCTAATGTATCGATAGGTTTCGCCAATACTGGTATTAAGTTTGCAGTAGGTGGGATGTATTCATCAACGGCACATGATAAACTAGAAAGGCAATTACGGTTAGTGGATGATTCATTCGATCCTTCCTGAGTAACGAAAACAGAATTAAGTTTAAAAGTCTTATCTTCAGTTCGAGCTTCTACTTTTTCAACATCTTTTCGACGGTTAGAATGGAACAACGATTGGTGACCCATTGTTTTTGATTTTTCAGGTGTTACATTCTTACCATCTGAGCGAGTACATTCTTGATGCGATGATTTGCAGTTGATTTTTGAATTAGAATCATCTGATGGTGTTCGATGAGCATTAGGAGAATTGGTTACGTTTTCCGACTTTTGTTCAGTAAACACAGATTTTTCTTCAATTACCTGAGATGGTTTTGTAAGTATATTAACTGGGTCATTATGATGGATTGGGCTGAGCTCTGTGATCAGACAGTCTTTCTGAGTTAAAAACTGTTCTGATTCTAAAAGCAAACGTTGGATGAAATTTTTTTTGGTTTCAGGACCCTTACAATGCTCATTGAAATATTCGCTTGCCCCCTTTGTTATTGTATCAGTACGGGGCTTAACTACGATATCATGGTTGGAATTGGATTTATCACTCAACACTGGAATCGGTTTCTGTATTGTCAATTTTGGAGTCGTAGTGCTTGTAACTGTTGTCAACCTGCTAGAGAAGTTGTTGTTATTATCACTTGAACTGTTGATTGGAACTGACGTCCTCAAATCTTCTGGATAATGTTTTCGTAATGGATTTTCTGTAGTTAAAGGAGACGGTCGACTTCCAGATAAGTACATTGGATTTTCAGATTTGCTAGTTTATTGAAATAGTAAAAGGTACGAACTTCAATATAACAGCTTTTAAAATACATTTCTTATTTCAATACTAAGTTTGTATTTGTGAGTAGTCAATAACCATAAGTACACTTCTAGTAGCTGCTAATCATATAACTGGATATTTTAAAACTCCTCTTAGTATTTAAACATCGTAATTGTCGTTCAGTGCTAAAACCAAATAGATGCTCCTCATATAGGAACAACTACTGTCGTAACACTACAAAAAATGTAAGCACTCAAACCCATGTAAGCAGTAGACAGTAGAATGAGCTTTCAGAAGAAGCATCAGCTTTAGAATAATACACATGGTAAAACTGAGAGAGACTGGGTTGACAAATATAATATTCAATCGCATCAATCCATACTAGCGAAACTAATGTTACTACATGTTGGATAATATGGACTGAAAGAATATATTTTCATATAGTTCATAAACCATCGAAAATCCCGTTTTGAAGTGGTAACTTTATTTATTAAAACTACTCATGAATAGGTAACAGAAAGTAATAGAATTACATTACAAAGGAACTTTCATATGAAATCAGTGCAGCTCTAAAAAAGGCAGATAAACTCTCCTGTAGATTACATAATCACTAATTGGAGTGAAAATATTCTGACTGATAATCATCCATAAAACGAGAAGCTAAGAACGAAAAATACTTCATCGAAAAGCACCACAAAAATATTTGCATACAGACGTTTTGAATAATGATCGATTTCAGTATAACAGATCCCCAAATGCCCTGGTACGAAGAGTGGGGAAAGTTAACTCTCCCACTCGAAATGCTCTAACATGGTCATGAGAATATAACCACTGTCAGGGAAGTCCTACTCACTGCCTTATCGTGGTGGAGGCGTTGTTTAGAAAATTGAGAGGACGAAAAGCGAATGTCCGGTGCTTTAACCGGACCCGAAAACAATGGTGCACATGGGCTCCAGTATCCTCAGAGAACAAATAGCACACGAACCTATTGTTGGTCACCGGCTACCATGGGACTGCATCTCCTCACGATGCTCCATTGTCTTGTGGTCAGACCTTTAGGTCAAGGGCTCGAGGTGTGGCCCCCTAAGAAAACCACCTGCTTCGGTCTGGGCACCCGGGCAGTATCACATTCCACACACAAATATGATGAAATGTCGATATTTATGAAAAATACTTTTCTTGCTTCGATTAACAATCAAACGATTCACATTATTATTATTACCATTATTGTTATTATTATTACTAATATTAATATTATTATTTACTACGTCATTTATTCACTTTCTTTTATTCCCACTTTGTGTATCCTTATTTTTCGTCTTATAAAGCAGCTCGCCTATGGTGAAAATTCGGTTCTACCTAAACGTTTTCGAGTCAATGCCTGAAGCAGTTTTTCTGAAACCACATGCACCATTCAAACTGGCTGCCTTCAACGTTCGCACACTTATGCAGGTCAGACAACAGATAAGGCTGGCTACGTCCGTAGAAAGTCTTAATATCGACGTTTGTTGTCTATCCGAGACCGGTATTCAAGACTCTGGTGAAGTACTACAAGTTCGCTCTCCATCTGTCGCTTCGAAAAGCTTGTTTTACGTGCGTTTATCCGGGGACCCTGTGGCAACTTCGTCTGGTCTTGCTGGTGTTGGTGTCGCAACTAAGCGCTAGAGTTCAGACAGCACTAATCGATTGGATCCCCATTAACACTCGGTTATGTGCTGTCAGATTAGAAAGTTCCATCAAAGTGAGAAGAAATAGGCGTGAAAAACAATGTCTTTTCGTCATCTCCGCCTATGCCTCAATAGATTGCAGCACGGATGAATTCTACCACCATTTAACTGTTCTTCTCCAGAGAGTGCGTTCGACAGATATTGTAGTACTAGCCAAAGACTTGGATGCTCAGGTCAATCGTCTAGGTATGGAAAATAGTCGTTTAGGTGGCCGATAGGAAATTGTTGGTCGCAGGACAGGTAACGGGGAACGTCTACTGCAACTTTGCACAGATCACAACCTGTTTCTAGCTAGCACTAACTTTCGGCACAGTCATCGCCGATATGCCACCTGGTGTCCTCCCTCTGCATTTCAAGCCTGGACTCAGATTGATCACATCACGATCAGCAACCGCTGGCGTGGTTGTATACAAGACTGCTGCTCCTTTTGGAGTACCTATCTGGACTCTGATCATGCCCTGGTCTGCGCCAATCTCACCTTACTTTTCAGTGGCCAACGAAGTGACCGCCACCAAAGGATTGATGTTAGCAAGTTGGTTGCAACTTCTGTTGCTAGTAAGTATCAAACCGAGCTAGCTTCTAGGCTAGCTACCATTCCACCGAAAAGTATAGATGAGCATTGGTTGCAACTTCATGACGCCATCAAAATGGCGAGTAAAGTCGCTTGCGGCTTCGCGAAACGTCCCGCTTATAAGCACTGGGTTTCTTCAGGCTGCTTACAACTCATCGAAGCCCATCGGTCTATTCCGGGTGACCGTGAGTTTGACCACAAACGAAGGCTGTTACGTAACGAAGTCGGGCAAAGCATGCGTAAGGACCGAAAAGCCTGGTGGTCGGAGTGTGCTAATGAGCTGGAAGCAGTAGCTTCATTGTTCCATTCACGCAGTGAGGTTAGGCAGAGTTGTCCAATCTCACCATTCCTCTTCAACTTTGCTATCGATGACCTTCTGGAAACAGCTCTGATGGATGTCAGTTAGTCATCAACAACGTATAACTTCGTACGTACGAACACAGAGTGGGTGCACCTGCGCCATTGCAAACGATTTTGAGACATGTCACTCAAGGTCTCTAACCATCGGTTGCTATCGTCTCGCGGATCCCAATCAGGTAGTCTACACCTACCAACGTGGCTCAGTCCACTTGCCAGTGACTTCATTGATTTGTGCCACGTTTTGGTCTGGACGCCCCTACCTTTCTTCCAACCTACTCCTACATCATAAAACATCGCACGTCGGTGGTTGGGCATACGTAACACGTGTCCCAAACATCTCAACTGAATTGCCATCCTGACCTAGTACCCGTTTCCTAACAACTGCATCACTTACTCGGTGGTCCCAAGATGTACGAGCAATGCTTCGAAGACACCTATGATCGAATACTAGTAACCTACAAATACCCTCCACTCTTACCGGCCATGTTTCACTGCCATAAAGTAGGACGGAATGAACTGCTGTACAGTAAATTCGTCCTTTGGTTGGTAGACGGATATCTCACCTACGCCATAAATGATGCAAATTGGCAAAAAATAGTCCAGTCCTCTGTATCCGCGCTGATGGATGTAAGTAATGGCTGTGTAAATCGGTTGCCTGAGGAAAAACTTCTCGACCTTGAGTATGCGAATGATATTGTCTTACTGTGCGATGATGCCCAAGCCATGCAATCCGCACCTAATCAGTTGGCAATCGGTGTCCATAGGTATGGTATGTGCATTGCACCTTCGAAGTGCAAAGTACTTCTACAAGACTGGCAGGACCCTGATCCTGCACTCACCCTGGGTAGTGAGCAGATAGAAGTAGTCTCAGTCAGTCAGTCAGCTGCAACGTAGGACCAGGCACGTATATGCATCGGTCCAAGTTGCCATACCTCATTAGCACAACAAGATGAACACCGGATTCATAGAAGTAGTTAATTCAGTGGTGGTAATATATAGAAGAAAGAGTGTGTATAAGGAGATAGTACAGGAAGAAAGAATTAATTCGTAGAAAGAAAAATATGAAGCGATTTTAACCTCACAGATTAAGCGAAGACAAACAGTGTATACACCTACGCCATTCTGATCGATTCTGAGCCATGTCACCAAGAGTCTCCAACCATTGGTTACGATAGTCACGCGGACCTCAACCAGGTAGTCTGCATCTACCAACATGGCTCAGACCAGAAGTTAGTGACTTCAAGCACTGATGCCACGTTTTGGTTTGGCCGCCCCTAACTTTCTTGGAGTCATCCCTAACACCGGTTACCATTGCGCGTCGCGGTAATCGGTGTTCAGGCATACGCAGCACGTGGCCCAACCATCTCAGTCGATGAAGGTTCATAACCTCATCAACTGATTTACCATCATTTCCTAATACCCTGCGTCTAACCTCACTATTACTTACCAGGTGATCCCAGCAGATACCCGCAATATTTCTAAGGCATCTGTGGTCAAATACTAGTAACTTAAGAATATCTTCTACTCTCAAAGGCCATGTTTCTCAGCTGTAAAGTAGAACAGAACGAACTGCCACGCAGTATACTCGTCCCTTAGTTGATAGACGATATCTCGCCTTCGCCAAAGGTGACGTCGGTTGGCAAAAGCCAAACGAGCTTTTCGAATCCGTACTGAAATTTCGTCAGACACCAACCCATTAGGGCTGATCAGACTTCCAAGATAAGTGAAGTTATCAACGCGTTCGACTACTTCACCCCCCATCCTTAGTTCAGGTGTTGACGCAGACCAGTCCTGAAGCAACAACTTGCATTTGGAGGGAGAGAAGCGCATCCCAAACATTCTGGCATTGTTGCTCAGTGCTACCAAAAGACTCTGCATTTCATCAGTGTCTTCACCAAACAGGACTATGTCATCTGCGTATTCTAAGTCAATAAGTGGACCTCCTGGTAGGAGATCAATACCCGAGAATTCAGTCGATGAGAGCGTTATTTCCATCAGTAGATCTATGATGAAGTTGAACAAAAATGGAGAAAGTGGACAGCCTTGGCGGACCCCACTTGAGGTTGCAAAAGCTGATGACAGTTCGCCATAAGCTCTCACTCGACTAGTAGTGTTCGAGTAAAGAGCCTTCACAAGGTTTATGTACTTCTGAGGTACGCCTTTCAATGACAGACACTGCCACAGAACTTCTCGGTCAACAGAGTCAAACGCTGCTTTTAAATCAAGGAAGACCACTATTGTCGGACGCTGATAAGTATGCCTGTGTTCTAGAACCTGACGAATGGTGAATATGTGGTCGATGCAGCCACGACCAGGTCTGAAACCAGCCTGATTTTCACGTGTTTGCAGCTCACGAGTCTTAGTTAGGCGTCCGAAAATTATCGAAGCTAGTATTTTAGATACTATATTAGTTAAACTAATCCCTCTGTGGTTGTCACAGGATGATTTTGACCCTTTCTTAAATATTGGGACGATAAGTGATTGTGACCAGTTAGATGGGATAACGTCTAACTCCCAGATTTTAGCTAAAATATTAGTCAACCTAATCGCTAAAACTAGACCACCATCCTTAAAGACCTCTGGGGCCAATCCGTCTGGACCAGATGCCCTTCCTCGTTTCAGATTGGCTATAGCCTTTTGAACTTCAGTTAGAGTTGGGGGACCTACTTCAATGTTCCATTCATACTGTCTGGGAATAGAGGGTAGTTGTAGAGTAGCTGAAGGCCAACTGAATTGCTCCTTAAAATGTTCCGCCCATCGTTCTAAACGTCTAGACTGGGAGCAGATGAGAGTGTCGTCTTTTTCCGAAATAGTCTGACTTACACTTCATTTATTAATTCCAGTTTCTTTTATTGGTCTGTAGAGTTGTCTTGTGTTCCCTATAGCCGCCGCCTTTTCCATCTCTTTTGCTTTCGTTGCCCACCACTGCTCACGATCATTCTTTAGACTTTTGCTTAATCTAGATCTGATTTCTTTACGCTCTTCATCGTATTCAGAACCTGATGGGATGAGTTTACGAGAATCTATCAGTGCAGTAGACCTTGAAGAAATCCATTGGTTCTTTGTAACCCTGTGGTTTAACTCACTGGTAGATGTCACTGCTGTTTCCACAGCTGCTTGTATGTCTTTCCAATCAACATCTGGGTCAGTCTCGTTTTCAGAACCACTTAAGTGTGACCTCAGTTGTTCCTGGAACCTACTTTTGGCTTTCTCATTACTCAATTCGGTTCTAATGAGTCTTTTTTGTGTGGCTCTTTTGCGTCCAGTGAGGCGCAAGCAGATGCGTGCTCGTAAAAGGGCATGATCAGAGTCCAAGCAAGTACCCCAGAATGAGCGACAATCTTCTATTGACCCTCTCCAACGATGACTGATGGCAATATGGTCTATTTGAGTCCATCGTTGGTTTGGTGCAGGGGGTCGCCATGTTAGACGATGTCTCTCCTTATGCTTAAAATTTGTGTTTGCTAAAAATAAACGATTGTCTGAGCACAGTTGCAGCAGACGATCACCATTATCTGTTCTCTGTGCCGGAATGCTAAAATACCCACCTAAATGTCTTTCTGTTTCGTTTAAGCTACCTACTTGGGCATTAAATTCGCCTGCTACGAGTACTATGTCTGAACGTTTAGCTTTCTGAAGAAGTTCAGACAGCTTTCTGTAAAATTCATCTTTCACTTCATCCGAACTGCAGTCAGTGGGAGCGTAGGCAGAAACGACGAAAAGGCAACGACGTGTGTCCCTATCCTTTCGAGTTCTTACGTAGCCGTTTAGCCGAACAGCGCATAGACGACTATTAACGGGGATCCACTCTAATAGCGCTTGTTCCGCCCTCATGCTAAGTGCTATGCCTACACCTGCAAGTCCACGAGAACTAGCCATCGGGTCGCCAGATACACGGAGGGTGTATCTCTTCGGCACTCCGTTTTGCCGAGGTGAGGTCGAGTGAATGACCACACTAGGATCCTGTATGCGTGTTTCGGAGACACAGCATACATCAATCGTACGAGATTCTAAGGTTTTAGCCAAGGAAGCCTGCTGACCGATTTGGCATAGTGTGCGTACGTTCAAGGCTCCAATGTGTAGTTTGGAGCGGGGTTTCAGTAGACCTGGGACAGTGTTTTGCGCACTAGAATCGTTGGCAGTGGTGACACTTAAGGAGGAAGCCGAAAGAGGGAGTTTAGATTTGAAAGTCGATGTAAGAGGAATAATAGGAATTGAAGAGGTAGATTGACTATGAATACAGTGGTCTTGAGTGCTGTTAGAGGTATGAGGGCGGTTATCACTTCCCGGTCGCCCACACCGTGGAAGGGTTCTTCTGGAGGTACCTGAAAAGGAAATTGGATTAGAGGTGGTCATAGTGACCTGAGAGCGTGACCGCAGTGCCCAAGGGACAGCTGATTGAGGTCGGTCACACACGACCTTTTTATGAGTGATTTTTGTGTTAGCTCCGTACTTGTTGAGACCTTACCGTCGGAGACGGATATCCGTGGGATAAGGCGAGGTGTGCAATTTTAGGGTCGACCTTTACTAACCCCTCCCCTCCTTTTGGGAAGGCAGCATCGCTGTTATGCTGGTTGTCTGAAGGAAACACCTTACTGCTGTCACACCTCTGTACAGTCAGCAGTACGACTTCGCCTTCGGACCTTGGTTTTGTTGCTTTTAGTCTTACCGCTCTTCAACCGACCTGTCTGGCATGGTAGGACCTTGAGGAACGGTTGTTCCAGCCAGTATAGCTCAGTTGCTTCATCACGATAGGCAAGCCCGACCACCACGTCAAGGTAGCAACAACGGTCAGGATATAAGTAGTCTAGAAGTTGGTGTATCTGGGTAGCTACATAAGTTCTGCTAGTGGCGTGAGTGATGAGACCAATGCACGTACAGTGAAAGCCAGAGCGGCTTATGTCGATCCGGGCCATCCTTGGCGCCTTCGTGATGTCAGTCTGGCTGTAAAAGGTCGGATCTACAACGCATCGGTGAGAGCAGTTTCGCTCTATGCTTGTGAAACCTGGCTTCTCCGAGTTGAGGATGTTAGACGACTCTCTGTGTTTGATTATCGCTGTCTCTGAAGGATTGCTGACATCCAATGGCAACACCATGTTAGTAATGCAGAGGTTCAGCATCTTGTGTTCGGGCACAGAGACGATAATCCAATTGATGTCACTATCTTGAAACATCGACTTCGGTGGCTTGTTCTACGAATGTCATCCCAGAGAATTCCACGTCGTGCATTATTTGCCGACACTGGGACTGGTTGGAAAAAGCAGAGAGCTGGTCAGTGTATGACATGGTGTCGCGGTATAAAGGAAAGCTGTACAGGACTGGCTTCTGCTGGTCCTAGAGATGGTGTAACACAGTGGCTAGAGACGTTATCAGATATGGCTCAGAATAGAAGAGAGTGGCGATCCTGCCGGGACTTTATTCTACTTTCTTCATAAAGATGACGTAACTTCCTTGAATGAAAGAATTCTCTATGGCTGTACTTTCGCTAATTGAGCTGTCTCTCCTATTATTATTACTTCACTATCGTACACTAATTACTGTTCGTTGCTGTTTCCCTTTGCCTTATACGCAACTTAAATTCCTTATCTCTTCGCATCCTCATTATTATTGTGTGGCACATATGTATGTGGTGCCCCTTTGTACCAATATTTGTGTTCAAATAAATAAATAAAAGTATAACAGGCTAATATTGTAGACTTCTGAACCGTGTATTTCGAAACTGTACAGCTATCAGGATACATTTTACTACGTAAGATTTGTTTTGACCGAGTCATTATGTACATAAATGTCAAAGCGAACTCAGAGGCTTACTTAAAAAGCACAACCTACTGTGAAGTTAAATACTATCAGATACAAGAAGAAGCACTAGTTGTTGAAATGTTCCCTTTGCCATATAATGTTTGAAGAAGCGAGCGAAATATACGTTTGGATCTATATATTAAACATATTATGGACAGAATAGCATCACGAACGCGACAAAGTTCGCCCAGATTGGCATAATCCGCCTCTGGCTTTCACTATATGTGAACTGATTTCACTATTCACCACCATCAGAACTTACACAGTTACACAAATATATGAACTTCGACTACTATTTACTCACTACCAAGATTAAGCGAAGGCACAATCTCCTGTCAGTCTCAAAAGAGTACTTTGCACTCAAAAGGTAAAAGACACATGCCATACCTATGGACATAGATTACCAACTGATTAAGTGGGGATTGCATGGCTTAGATATCACCGCGCGGTAAGACAATACTATCCGTGTACTCAAGGTCGAAATGTCTTTTTCCAGGTAACAGATTCACACCACTTTTGCCTGAACTGAATCTGTTAAATTAGAACATGACGTTGTGATTATGAGCGTCTTTAACTTTTCACATATCTTATGAGAAAAATTCAACGATTCTGAAAATATATAGCTTGTAAGTACAGAAGTAGCCATCATTGAGTAGCATGAAATATTAAGGGTAACAAGAAATAACTTTACAGTTCATTTTGGACAAAATTTCGAATAAGGTCGAAGCTTCTAATTATGAAACTAATCACGCTAAAAATTACCAAACAATAATAGCAAGATATTTTGACGAAAACAACTTACCTCACAACACACTCGGTCGGAGCCTCAGAAATACGCCCAGATATCTTCGAGTCAAGAGGATTTTGTTTACTGACATCAATTTGCGGTAGATCTATAAAGCCATTTTGAGTATTTGGAATAGGAGATTCTGTTCCAGAACCGTCACCATTTAGAATGGAGAGTGGACTGACGAAAGGTGGTGGTGGACGTAGTGCATGATTGAGAATGGAAAGGCTCTCCGACGTGCTTTTATCACCTGGCTTGATCAACATATCACCGTTATCCACTGGTGTCTCCACGGCAATAGTTCTAGACGATGTTCTTGGTCTTGGTTTCTCTTCATTTTCTTCTTCGCTATCAGACAATAACAGATCTTCCCATAGCCTGAAATTTTACTATATTACCAAGCCTATTAAAAGACCTCACTTATGACGCTCAGCTAATGTGATAGTCTCTGAGGCCACATTTGATTTTTCGGATGTACATATCTTCTGGAGTGTATGTATTGTCCTACTACCGGGAGATACTTGGTCAATTGTAGGCGTACTTTTGTTAAAATCAGGGACCGGGATGGGAGTTGTTGGCACTTTGTGCGGGCGGTTTATGAAAGGAGGTGGGATAAAGCTAAATTCATTTGGCAATATAAGAAAGCTTACTTATAACACCCTAGTGCTTTAAAACGAATGCACCAGCTGACATCAGTAGGTTCATATTGATAAACTGATGACCAAGGATCTCTGACCTCTAGAGAAACTTAAATCATGGAAATCAGATTTATTACCTAATTCTGTATGTTTGGGCCATACCAAACTACTTGAATTAGATACATTTTGTTCAGTAGTGCTCGAATAACCCAGAACGTTCATGAATTCCGGAACAGTCATACCCATCCGAGATGATATGACTCGGGCATCACGGTCATCAGAAGAAGCCTAAAGGTTTAATAATATCCTGAAATGTTCAAAACCTTAACAAGTTTCAAACAATTCGGTGAGATTGTGTTGTTAGATGACATTGTCAAAATCGAACGGTCCATCGTAACGAACGAAACTCAAGAAACCTCACCGAAATGCGGCAGCTTAGCTACTTTTACGAGTACAGCGCACGACAATATTACAGTATGTCAACAAAACATCCAAAGTCATATACCATATACCATAGGTTGCACAAACCAGAGTGCGCGCTTCACGTGTTGGGATACTTGAACAAAACCAAATAGTTCCATGCGGTCTTGTCGAAATAGAAACCTCTGATGCATAAAATTTCATTTCTATTAAACATGGATCACCAACGCCGACAACCAGAGGCCTATTACATAAGAAATAAACTGAAAAAACATCCTGGTAATCAGTAGTTTTTCCACTAAATAGTGTTTTATCATGAAGAGGTAAGACTAATTCAATCAAACTCAGATAAGAGCCATCACAGTACAGTATTTAGATACTCTTGATGAGTGAGAACGGACCTAATAAGCTGCGACTGTAGTTTTGGTTGGCAGGTTCTTAAAATAATTCAAATTATTATAAATGGAATAGAAAGTTCTTGCTTGAAGAGCTTTTATATTTGTGACAGTGGTTTGTCGTTTCTCTCAGTCAGAGCCCTAGGTATATTTAACATGTAAAAGAAATGTTGGTAAAGTATCATTACATTGTTCGGGGTTCTTGGAAAATATATATTAGAAAAGCAAATGAATTGCTAAAATAAATCGTCCACTAGATTTTCAACAGTGATGCTGATCCCATTCATTTTACTGAAAACACACTAGCTGGTGGCGCTTCGTCAAGCATCCACACTGAGTAATGTTTGAGTATTCCATGCTGCGCATCTGTTATACCAACTATCCTATTGAGATCATATACTTCTCGACTTATCGAACATTTACAAATATAGCTCCAATCCCTTCGTTTCAGACTTGCAGTTTGGTTGAATTTCAGACCCTCGGTTAAAAAGTCTTTGAGAACAACAGCGCTATCAAATACTGAATTTCCACGACATGTCTGACATTAAGTTTCCTCTTGGAGGACTCTAGGGAAATGGCTTAGACTGCCTTGGCTGATTGATAATCACATGACTTGAACAGCAATGAAATGAAAGTTACATAAATTCGTGAGGGTAGTCATGGGTGTCACTAGTCGTTATAAAACAGATGCAGTGTAGTTCATCATAATTAGATTGAAGTTCCAGTCTCCAAACCACCCGAAATGTTTCTAATTCGCTACCGTAATATCTCGCTTCACCTGTAGCTCTTCTACAGTTACTGACGGTCCTAAGCCTGTATAAAGGAGGATGGTTGGACCTAGAGTCGGCAACCCCATCACGTAGAAAGAATCTTGCTAAAAAAATACGCCAATCATAATGAAAGCCGAGATATCACGGAAGTTAAAAGGTCGATGCTTCTTACAACCAGAGCAATAATTTCTATAGAAATATGGAAGTTCCGGATAGTGTGTGAGACTGGAAGGACCAGTAAAATAGCAACGGAAATGAGGGGATACAGCTTAACGGTGTTTAGGATCTGCGAAACCCACTCGACACTAATTGGACAGCAAAGGTTAGGTACGGGAGATATTCTGCTGTACTCTGATCACGAAGAGGAAAATACCTCACATACTCAGGGAGTTGCTCTGATGCTGTTTAAAGATGTACGGAATGTATTTGTTGGGTGGGATTACATGGACTCAGGATCATTAAAGCATACCTCAAATTCAGGAAGAAAATAATTACAATGAATGGTATCCAATGTTATTCATCCATCAATGACAGTAATGATGACAAAGACCGATTTTACGAAAGGCTTCGGTCGATCGTAGCGAAGTGCTCAGGAAAAGACCTATCTATCCTGGTGGGAGACCAATTCGTCAAAATCGGAATGGATAACACGGGGTGTGAAGATATCATGGGACGACATGAACTGACTGAGAGAAAAGAACAAGAATGGTGACAAATTTGAAAATTTATGTGCATTCAACAAATTGGTCATAGGTGGCACAATATTCCCACACAAAGAAACGTGGGTCTCACAGGACCACACGACATGAAACCGTATATATCATATTTGTATCGGCAAAAATTCGGAAGGACGATGGAAGACATGAGAACCAGAAGAGAAGTTGAGATAGCTTCGGATCACCATTTGGTTGTGGCCAAGATTAAACTGAAACTAAAAAACACCGGAAAGTTCAGAAAACAGCAATAAAGTCTGTAGTGGCATTGGGCCCTACCACGAAGCAATATGGGTAATATACATTCAACACTTAACGCGGAAAAATACCTAAAAATGAGGAAGGCGGGACTTATGAATTGGATTAACCAGAGTTGACCGTATGGCATGGCTCGGCTGTGCAGGCGTGGTCCCTGCTGAATTTTACCTTATATCTTTCATTCATATTAAATATATTGTTCCATCTCTAGCCTAAGTGGGTTCTCCATCATGTATTGGTAATTGTTACGATGCAGTGAGTTGGTGTAGATGATGATATAACTCCCAGCTCACCTGAATCCACCGGATATCGAAGCAGCACCTACAGACCTTGCTATAGATGTCACTCCACCAACAGTCGAATAAATCAGGATGGCTATCAAACAAACCAAGGGTGGGGAAGCAGTAGGACCCGATAACATACCAGCTGAACCACTGAAGTCAGACTTAGAAGAGACTGCAAACATGTTCCACGTTTTATTCAGGAAGATTAGGAAGAAGAAACACGTGCCAACAGACTGAAAAAAGGACACCCCATCAAAATATCAGAGAAAGGAGATCTGAGCTAATGTGAGAACTAGAGAGGAATCGCACTACTACCGCTACCAAGAAACGTCTTCAGCACAGTGTTGCTGAAACGTATGAAAGATTTAGAAGACGTCTTGTTCCGAGATGAACAGGCCAGATTCCGTAAGAATCTGTATGCATTGACCAAATCGCAACACTACGGATCACCGTTGAACAATCAGTTGAATGGAACTCGTCACTACACTACATTATACATGGGAAGATCGTCAATATCATCTGGAATTTATACGATGAACTACAGTGCAATTTCATGCATGGAGGACAGCTGACAGATGCATTTCAAGTGAGGACCTTAGTTAAACAAGGCTGCTTACTCTCGCTCTTTCTTTTTTCCGGTGGTTGACTAGATTATAAAGCCCTCCATATCTGAGGTTAAGTCAGATCCTTTAATACAAACGTCAAAATAATCCTACTGTACGGAGCTGAAGGTTCAAGTACTCACAAACAACCGTTCATGCAATATACTCGATATCCATTGGCTGGATACCATCAGCAACGGCCTACTGTGGGAGAAAAAAACCAGCCTCCAGTTGAAGAGGAAATTAGGAAAAGACGCTTAAAGTGGACAGGACAAACATTTAGGAAATCATCAAATTGCATCACTAGGCAAGCGCTAACTTGAAATTGTAGTGTGTGCTACTGATGTCGACAGATATATGTAGTATGTATCATCAATAGAAAGTTAAATGCCTGAAGGCCGAAAATGAAGATCGAAGAGAACAGAACGAGAACAAAGAGTGCTTAGTGGGGAAAAGAGAAATCGGTCTAATCTGAGACAACTGATTGACATTTGGCAAATAAAGAGTTTACTGCATGGTTCTCAGATTTTATTAAGAAATTCTGTCATTTTGTGTTGAAATACATATGAAATTACTTGAGGGCCAAGCGATCAGGCATTTTCTTAACTCGTAAATTTAGTTCCCTTCTTAATCTGGATAGAGAAAGAACAAAGAATTAAGCAGAACAACGTGAGTTCATTTTATTTCGTCTGGTTCTCATCAGTTTCTTACAACCTATAACATTTAGAATCAAAATCGGCGTAAACTTTAAATATTTATAACAACGAAAATGGATAAGCACTATCATGGTGCAGTAGCGAGAGTGAAGACATGATGGGTGTTGTAAATAAATATATTATGTGAGGGAAGATTCTCGATCACCAGACATGGCAACAAACGAATAATTGATTATGCAGTGAGGTATTGTAATATAATATATTTCTGCAAGGACAGGTACACGCCAGTTTTACAGGCTTACTTACTTACTTACGCCTGTTACTCCTCGCGAAGGAGCATAGGCCGCTCACCTGCATTCTCCACCCAACCCTGTCCTGGGCAATCCTTTCAAGCTCTTTCCAGTTCTTATTCATCCTTTTCATATCCGATTCTATTTCCCGACGTAATGTGTTCTTTGGTTTTCCTCTTTTCCGCTTCCCTTCAGGATTCCACGTTAGCGCTTGTCTCGTGGTGCAGTTTGATGATTTGCATAATGCATGCCCTATCCATTTCCACGTTTCAGCTCCGTACAGAAGAACTTTCCTGACGTTCGTATTGAAGATTGTGACTTTGATATTGGTTGAAAGTCGTTTTGAGTTCCATAAGTTCTTTAGTTGAAGGAATGCGGCCCTTGCTTTGTCAATCCTCGCCTTTACGTCTGCATTTGAACCTCCTTGTTTATCGACGATGCTTCCCAGGTATGTGAAGCATTCTACATCTTCCAGAGTTTCGCCATCAAGAGTGGTTGGACTGCTGTTCTCAGTGTTGTATTTGAGGGCCTTGGTTTTCCCTTGTGTATGTTGAGGCCTATTGATGCAGAGACTGCTGCTATGCTGGCTGTCTTTATCTGCATTTGCTCATCTGTATGCAATAGGAGGGCTTAGTCATCTGCGAAGTCCAAATCGTCAAATTTGTCCTCAGCTGTCCATTGTATGCCGTGTTTTCCCTCACATATGGAGGTCTTCATAATCCAGAAGAAAGAGGAAGTGGGCGAGTAGACAGCATTGTCTGACTCCGGTCCTTACTTGGAATGCATCTGTCAGCTGTCCTCCGTGCACTACTTTGCACTTTAGTCCGTCGTATGAGTTCCGGATAATATTAACAATCTTCTCAGGAACTCAGTAGTATCGAAGAAGTTTCCATAACGTTCTCTTATCTACACTGTCAAATGCCTTTTCATTATCATTGAAGTCGATGTCCAGTGACGAGTGCCACTCAATTGATTGTTCGACGATGATCCGTAGTGTCGCAATTTGGTCTGTGCACGACCGATCCTTACGGAATCCAGCTCGTTGATCTCGAAGTTGAGCATCTACTGCGTCTTTCATTGGGTTTAATAACACTCTGTTGAAGACTTTTCCTGGTACTGACAGTAGTTTAATGCCTCTGTAGTTTTCACACTTGCTCAG